TTTTAGGAGTACTCCGTTCAGTTCCGTTCAGTTTTATTGTCGAAAAATACAAACGGTGGATATTTGCTTTGTTCGCATTTCAATAATATCCAAACTTCACAAACATCTGTAAATTTTTTTAATTTATGTATTACAAACAGCAATTAAACAGGACAGAGAATTGACAAGTCACTAATATAGCATTTTGCATAAGTAAGACAAGATGTGACAGCCAGGAGGGTCCGTTGTAAGAAGATCTTTACCAATGGGAATTATGGGTACAAATTGAGGTAGGAAGAAAGGATTTCAGGAATCGTGTCGTTTATGAGGGCCGTGAGCTTGGTCGTTTACATTATCGCATGAATTGATCCCAGCTGGAGAGTGGGTGTGAGTCATTACTTGAACATTCCTTGACATCTTCCCAATTTTATTCGTGCACGCTTCATTTGATTGTCTGTGTTCACCGATCAGTTTGCTGGCTCGTTGTGCAATTCTTCCTGGGCTCGCCTTGTCTTCCTGCCTAGATGCCGTAAACCAAACAATCATATCAAATAACAAAACAGTTTCAATTACTCACTTGTAAAAAAGGCCGAGAACTGGTGTTGAAACATAGGCTGCTCTCAGCCTTCGCAAAAACTGCAATCATCTTCGTGTGGTTCTGAGAAGAGCTGGAGGGTAGTCAACGTCACGGATGGTATGCTCTCTCCTTTGTCGACCACACTTGCTCAGAAAGAGATGTCCTTGCTTGGTTCTACCGCTAACCTCTACCACTTACTTGCTACCTTCAACATTAAAAGCTTCAAAGCTTACCAAGTTCACTGCTAAATATTGAGCTGGTTTGGAAGGAACCAAGCTAGACAAGGGCATTTTAGAGTAGGCCTAAATGTACAGAGGTGAGATAAAATGAATTGAAGACCTCAGACACTCCCACTTTTGTAAGAAATTAGTTCTATGAAGAAAAGTACTTTAGTTTTAAGATATTTTTTATTAAACGGTGATAGCCGGAAGTCGTGTTATTTTGTAATATTAACCTGTGTGCATTTAAGGTCAAATACCCATGTTCTTCAGCTTTTTTCCTTGCTAATCAGTTCGATATTTGGCACAGATCTTGATTCGTGAAAAGAAATCGACCACTACACTGGGAACATGGTCAGATTGTTAGGGTTCATGGCATGTCATCAGCGGATCTCGAGGATTTCAGATTAATGTACGGCCATGTGTTGTGCCCTATGGGCAATGTACAATGTGTAGTTTTGCTTCTTTCTACCCGGGAGTAACTTGCAATGACTCATAAATTCCTCACGAGCCATCTCAAGACCTTGACTTCGCATTTACCCCACCAGTTTCTCCTCCTGATTTGCTCAGTCGCGGTGTTGACAGGTTCTCTGTGAGAAGGAACGCCTGAGCAAGTCATGCATCAGTGCCCATGCGCTTAAACTCCACAGTTTGCGCCTGTCTATTACCGGCAGAATGATTTGCAATGTATAATAAATGCCCTGCGACATTTGAGCGGGTAGACTGGTGACCTGACATCACCGAGATAGAACTCAGTTATTACAGGCAGGCGCCAGACTGCAAGGTGTCCTTGCCTCCTGTTTATCGATCAGTGTACATTTCAGTTTTTAGTGATTTAATTTTCGTTTGATTACAAACCAAAATTGTTAGTGCATTTATTTTCATGTTCCCTGAGAACTGTATCATGAATTATTATCGATCCACTACGGAATAAAAGCCTTGTCGTGGCCACGTCACGTTTATTTGTCTTGTTTTGTTCCACGGATCAACTCTTCCTTAGTGCTTGCTACTTTCATCCTACCATTTTGCCTGCCGTCATTTTTCCCATTACTTGTGCCTTGTGCCATACACTGGTCTCTAAGTTGTCCCTTTGCATGTATTTCTAGTAATAAATGTTCCCTTTGGTGCCGAGTTGGAGTGACTGGTTCGAGAGTGTTTGACTTTCATTCTGGTAATGGTAAATGCTCTTAAAGGAGGCTTAAGATTGGAACATTTCGATTTTATTTTGATGAATTTCTTACTGCACTTTACAGTAATTAGACGACTTGACTCGTTTGAACTCACCATATTACATTGTATTTACCAGTTGGTCTTAGAGGGTGGGTACGTAGTCGAGGTTAAAATCTTCTGGGGAACGAGCCTCAGGTCAGTTACAAGACCGTCAGAGAAAGACCCACTTTCAAGTTCTCAAGGCGTCGTTGTAAAAGAAAATGTGTAGAGTTATTCTTGCATTTATACAGCACAACGTTTCCTCGCTAAACACTCAAAACTGTTTAAACAACTCTGACACTCCGGCGCTGTTATGGAACTGTTTAAAAGGCTACGAAAAATGCACCCAACCTTGTATAATGAGGACGGGATATAAACATGTACCCAAGTCGCTAGTTCATCCATAAAAGATCGGGTCAGTGCGCTACACTAGTGTGAAATTCAGACTCCGTGAAATACGGACGCTTGTTCCAAAATATTTGATGGCTCGCAAACCAGAGAAACATATAATAAATGAGATAAGAGAGAAAACATCGAAGGATATCGGTATCGGTTATACCTGAATATTGATCAACTAAGTTGTATTTTATTTCTGGGTCATTTTATACACTAGTTGTCCAATTTGTTTATTGTCCCTGTCATATCTGACATGATTTTGTAAGTTCAGGGTACATTAAAGTTTTATATTTTCCATGAATGATGAACTGATGCAGATTACCTGCCAAACGAATGGAAATAGTTTGAAATCAAATTTCAGTGATATTTTTCTGTCAACTGATACAGGTCAGGTGTAACAGGGACACAAAGATGTCACACGTTTGGACCCTGATTTTATAGAATTACCGTCTTATGAGTCTATGTACTACGTGGGAATATAGTGTCTGATCGTCCCTTCACATTATAGTTAAATTCTTAGATGACATCAAGATATCAAAATCTTATAGCTGAAAGAAGGATCCGAGATTGGCCATGTCTCTCTTAAACCAGGCGGTGTGCCCCAGTTATTGACCAAATCTACATATTCAAGTCAAAGAGTTGTCGTGACCGAAACATTTGCCCGAATGGAATCAGCAACTCTGCCCGCGGTTTGTTTGATAGGTTTATTCTACGCTTTGGTCCGTTTTGGGCGAGAAAGCTACCTGGCTATAAACCTGCCATCAAAAATCGACATTTTGCAGTTTAATTAATATCAGTTTTTGTGGAACATCAATTCCATTGCAATGCGAGGTTTATCCTTTTGATTTAATGCTTGTATTGTTTGCGTTTGATCAAAAGATATACTCCATCAAAAACTATTTGGACCGATTGCTAATTTCGATTTGAGTAGGCAATGTACCACGAGATTTCAATTTGAGTAATTCATAATTAATACAATGCATTTGTTCGAGTGATTCGGTCAGTATAACTTTGTGGAATGTAGAAACGTTCAGTGAGGTGCAGGCTTGACTAAATTTCCATCATTTGTTCTCTTTTACTCTGTAAAAAGGTTGTCTAAATATTATGGGGAGAATTGTTTTTAGCATTTAACAGAAACATGGCCTCCACTCGGGAATATTGATACACAAAATAGGCCTACTTAGATTTTCTCGTGAACAAGATGTGTTATGTTTTGCTCCTGTTTATTTCCTTATGGAAATGAGGCACGAACATAGCCCATTGTCGCTAGTCCCCAAAGGATAAGTGCATGTACTCAGAATCAAGTCGACAAAAGCATCAAAGTGAATGACAGATCACAAGGTTGCTTTTTCAGTAGAACCCACGCAGACGCAGCTACAAGTAACGAAAATGCCGCCAATAATAATCGGAGAGTCTTGAGCGCCGATGAACCGCTCAGAAGCCCCTTAGGATGCTTGCTCCGAACATCGAACTCGCTGCTTACAAAATCGCCTGGTCATCCCTTCTGTTAGACGTTCGATGATATTAAACGCTTCAAGGGGATACAGTCAAAATAAAATGAAACTTACACTGCAAAAACTGGGGGTGTTAAATTTAACACCCCCGGTGTTAGCAGAGGACTGCACCAACACTTTCACTGGTGTTAAAATTTTTGGTTTTACTTTTAACACCATCCAGTGCATTCTAACACTTATAGGCGTGCAAAGTAACACCATCGGTGTTTAAGTAACACCCTATGGTGTGGTCATCTGATAACACCAAAAATGTTGATTTTAATTCGAGAGCTTTTACAGTGTGGCTATCCAAATCTGAAGTCGAGTTCCTTTATTGTTAAGTCGTAAATATTTGGACGGACAAAGTATTTTTCCTCTGAATTTGTGAAATACATGTACAAAAGTTAAACCAAGAAGCCTATCGACGATTCCGATGACTATAGGCAAGTTTGTTCAACCATAGTTCGACTAAATCTGATCGAACGCACGCCAGTCGACGATGGTTGG